AATGCAGCCATCATGCACCCAGTTGCTTTGAGTAGTTTGCAGAAAAAGTGTTTTTCTCCATGGCAGAGTTCTCCTCACTTGCAGGCCTAAATCAGGGGACCACAACCTTCCTAAGGTGGGACAGGATGCTGCTCCCAGAGCAACCCAGTGCAGCTCATTGCTCACACTCCTTCTTGGCTCTCTCACTGGTCCAGGACAGTTCTCTGAGCTAGAGGTGTATTCTACATACATTAAAATACCATGTGGTTAAGAAGATAATACCCAAAAAGATCTCCTGTCAGGGGGATGGGTGTCCAGTTCTTAACTACCTTCCTGTCCCTCCTTCACAGCACAGTTTGTCCCATCTGAGGGAATTTGTGGTGCTCTGCACGAGGGGCAGCTTGCAGGAGAACCCACAGCAGCTCCTTTCATTGCTGCTGCTCTGGGAAGCTGTCACCTGCTCCCAGCAGGTTGACATTAGGTAAGAGTAATGTTGGTCTTTGAAAATAAACCATAAAATTGCTATGAAAACTTGTTTCTTCTGTGTACATTCTAAATTTCTACCTGCGTGGGGATGGAGAAGGGGCTGTCGACTCCTATACGCACAAACAACAAGTCAAGGAGGTACTGAAAGAAAATCCATTTGTTCCAACACTTCCCCCACCCTCCTTTTCTTTTCAATACAAATTCAATCCTCTGTGTACAAGGAGGGGTGAACTGGTGCAGCACAACATAATGGAACAGTTTTATTTCACTGAGACTCTCCAAAAGGCAGAGTCCTCGTGAGACCAAAGCCTGTAACACTGAGAAGGACAGACTTTACACCAGAAACACATTTCCTGTCTTGGCTCACCCAGCCCCCAGAATAAATAAATAAATAAATAAATAAATAAATAAATAAATAAATAAATAAATTTATGGAGCAACACGTCCAAGAAGCAGCAAGCAGAAATGCATCCCAGAGGGGTGCTAAAGCATATAATAGCTGTATTTGTCTTCCTGGATATGCCTTGGTACAAGACAAAAAAAGGAGGCAGGCTCATTTGTTGTGCTCAGGTTTTAAGAGATTTCTGAGTAGATCTGTTAAGCTCGCATGTTGTTAACAAAACCTACCTGAACACAGCAGCTTTTGCCTTTCTGGGAGAAGAGTCTTTTTTTTTTTACTAAAACAGCAGAGAGGCTCTTAGGAGGTGGTGATGCAAGTGAGTATGGATTTTACTTCAGGATAAATTCCAGGCAACTTTTCTACTGCTTCCTCTTCCTTGCTGAGCCATATACAAGCTGGGGTTCTTGTTATTTCAGAACAGATTATAGGGATTTGATAATTCAGTGTTCATATTACTGCCTCAAGCACTTGCACCACCACTGCCTTCAGAGGGAGGTGTCCAGCCAGGGTAAATCATAACAGCCCAGAGAGGCTGCCATAGGTAGAATGGAGGAGGTTTGCTGGAACAAACACATGTTCCCTAAGAAAGCTTGGATGGGGAGATGCTGTGAATATGAGAACAGCAGACCTGGAGTTTGTGGATCAAAGAAAGTCAGCAGAAGATATAAAGAGATCAAAATGTTTTTCTTTGTTGCTCTGTGGTTGAAATCCAAACTAAAAAAAACCAAAAACAACTGAACAAAACACCACCACGGAAAGTACTAGTGCAAATCATTCCATATCTGCATCTTCTCATATTGCTGAGACAATGATAGTCTCTAAAATATGTTTTAGGTGACAGTGTTATGGCATTGGAGATAGCAACACGCTTCCCTAAAGGAAACTTGGTGGGTTGCTGTCTAGAGACTTCAATCTTGATTGTGAGCATGATATAAAACAGGGAACTGCTGACAAAGAAACAAGACTGGCACTTGGGACATCCAAGTTTTATTCTCCAATTTCTTCAAGAAAATTATTTCTCACCCACTTGTTATCTCTTTCTCAAAATGGTTGGAAGCTTTTAGGGTTGTGCCTAACTTCCTCAGCAGTTACTCAGCATAATGGGACACCAAGTTTTTGCCAGGGTCTTTGGCTAACCCTAGCACATAAAGGTCAAACAGTGTTTATAAGGAAGGTTCTCTGCTGTGAGGCTGAATACAAGAAAATTAAATGAGAACTCAAACGTATCCCAAGTGCCACCAGTTCACAGTCTAAAGGAAAAAAAAAAAAAAAGAAACCAAACAGACTGGATCAGGCCAAATACCTCTTGCTGGTCTTTATCCTTTAACTGAAAAGAAAAGCAATCTTTGCAAAGTGATAAAGCCACCCAAGAATGGCTGCAGTTGTTTCTTTTAAACGAACCAGAGAGAACAGATGGTCTCCCCTCATACTGTCGCAGGGGTCAAACTTAGCCACCTCTAAGACTAGCAGGTTCTTGAAATGCTCAAATGCTCATGTCTGGTCCTTATGACTAATCCACTCTCCCAAACAAGAAAGGTCAAATGAAGAACATCCCTACAAAAACTGCAACTACTCCAAGCCATGGCTGATGTGTAATGCACTCAGACATGGTGTCAACAACTGCTCCTGAAACACAGTGAGTCAGCCTTTCAAAAGAGCATGCCAGCTTTCACTGTTAGAGCTTTCATATGGATTACATTTACTCTGCAGCGTTTAAAAATATCCTTCTTAAACATTGAAAATATAAAATGTTTTCCTTACAGATTTTGTCCCTTTTGCCCAGGCAGCTGCACAAGAATGTCTCACGTGTTTATTTGGGAGCAAAACATCCTAGCTCTTCTTCCACTTTCCTTTTCTCATGCTGACAGCTAAACCAAAGGAAGGCCTCTTTTTTTCTGAAGTCATGTACAAATGAGGAATTTCTGGTCCCTTTCCCAACTTATGCCTCTGAACCACAGTCAGCCTTCCAGAGAGCTGTGGGGTCATGAGTTCTGCCCAACAGACAGGGCACAGAGGCACTGGGTGACTCTCCTTTGGTCCTATAACAGGCATGTGGGTACAAATCCCCTATCCATCCCCTACTTTAATCACCAACCTCCCTTGGATACTGTCATTTCAATAAAAAGGCCTATTGGAAATGACAGGTGAAGAAAGCAGCCCAGGCATGAAATGCACTCTAAAGTATATTAATAGAAGGTTGCCAGACGAAACGGTACAAGGCATTTGATCGCATCATCTCAGCCTTGTTGTTCATGCTCCTTTGCATCTGGCTGTGTGATTCCTGCCAGATTCTTGGCTGGAAGAGCAGAGGAGGATTTGCCTGCCTTCCCTAACCCATGCCGGGCTCAGCTGCAATCACGCAGAGCGCTGAAAGAAATCCCTTTGAGTTGGGATTCATTCCGAACATGTAAAACCCAAATGACTGCTTCTCCAAAGTGAATCCCATTTCACAGCAAGTAGGTTATTAGTGTGGAACTCCATACAAGTAGCCTGCATTCAAAAGCCCTCTGCATTATTAATAGAAGATGAGCTTTTGACATCAAAGGAGAACCATTATGTATGCTAAACGGTGGCAAAAATTGTACCCGCACTTCAAACCTTTTCAGCGCTTTGTCCCTTGTAAATCAATCAAGGTTGACAGATGCTTTAAGGAGAGTAATCTTTTCAATGATACTGTCAATGGATAACATAATGGAACATTGTCTCTGTGCTGTGTGAAGACATGGAGCTAGTCAATTATGGACAACACTTCATGCAGCCGCCAGTTTTCACTTGAAGTGCTGCTGTTGAAGTATTATAATCCCAACAAATGGCCACAGCAGCATACAATGTAAATGAGACCTCCTGAAGCTTTGGAAAATTCATTAGTAACAACAGTGGTCCATTCCCACACTTTCAAACACCAGCCTGGTAATGTTAACGATGCACTTCCCCCCTTCCCTTTGAGCAGGCAGTAGGGCATATTTACATACACCCTTTTAAACCTTCAGCACATTTCCCCCCCCCATTTTGGATTCCTTTCCTCTCTTCACCTGATATTTTCAACGAGTCACATAACCCACATGGCTGGAGGCTGGAAACAAGAAAACAGACCTTCCTACTTGGGGACACGTTTTCACTTCACACATGCCAGACACTTCATGGCTGTCCCTTTTTCCAACACTTCTGTCTGCTCAGCTGCCCTGGGAAGAATGGCCTGGAGGGATGGCAGGGGAAGAGCTTCCAGCCTCAATGCACCCAGTGCCAGTCGCACCTGGGTGGAACTCTGCTCGAGAGTCAAAAGGGAGAGACTGTGCTGTTTATTTAGCTATTGGCTTCTATTTCCTACATCATCTTCTCAAGGATTTTCCCTTTGTCAAGCAAGGCTTGTGCTAAGAGGAACACTTAATCTCCTACAGTAGCAGAGAGAAATCCCACACTTGAGCACAGAATCTCTAAACTCCTATCAACCGCAGGTTTTCATTGCTATGATCTGTGAATGCCCCTTACCCCTAATGTGTTTTTGAAACAACCAGGTGCACACCAGAAATTCAATCACTGAGGGTAAGAACAAGTTGTTCCTTGAACCCAACTTCCCCTTTCCCACTCTCCAAGCTGTAAGTATTGGGCAATTGAAAATCCTCTTGCAGAACAGTTTTCTATGGTAATATCATAGAATTTCAAAATTATACATTCCCTTTGCCACAACTTTCAACAGATGTTATCTAACCTTTTCTTTCAAGCTACGTAATTTTATTTCTATTTGCTAGCATATTATTATTTAGAGTATACAAGTAAAATCTTTGACAAATTAATATAAGCATTGGAACAATAAAGTTGACCCATTTGATCAAAAGACAAAAGATCTGACATGGTGTGCCAGTAATTCAGAACCAAAGGTTATTAAACAGAAGATGAGAGACCTGCTTTTGTTCATGTGTCTGATGACATATATAAGATCACAACCTACCACTGCTGGATAAAGTCAGTTTAAGAGGGAAGATGGTAGCTAATAATAAAAATTTTAAGTAGGATTTTATTCATACTGAAATAAAATTCACTCAATCAAATAAAGCCAGAGATTTATCATAAAGGCCAAAAAAAAAAAAAAAAGAAAGAAAAACTAGGAAAAGATAATTAAGAAACACTGACTTACATAAGAAAAGTCTTCAGCATTCTGACAGAGTAGCTTGGGAAAAACAGCCTGTCTCTGAAATCTTTCCTCATCCTCAAAGATGTTCCCATACATGAAGCCATTCATCATGGTGGAGTGGGCATGGATGTCGATATAGAACTCCAGGTTAATCTTCTGTTGAGGGAAAACAACAACAGCAAAACATTCAGCACGAGATAAATCATAACTGAGTTATGCAGGTGAAGCCTTCCATAAATCCAGTCCTGCCATTGTTGAGCCCATCCATGGTGCCAGCAGCAGGGAGCCACACTGAAGATCTCACTGTGATGTACACAACCTTCCTGCCTCTCTGTGGGGGCATGTGAAATACAAAAAAGGACCATGACAGACATTTCTTTACCTTTTTTGAGGGTATTGGAACATTCTGCACAGGACATTGTGCAAAAAACCATAATTCATTGTGATACAGGGCTTACTGCCAGTGATAAAAATATGCACCTTCCAGTTCTAGAGCACCATTACTTGGGCATAGCTTTGCCATCTCTGCACAGTTCTGCATTGAATTACACAGATGTTCCCTTCTGCCAGGTGAAACAGGCTCAAAATTGTGTAAAAAAGACTCCAGTATTTCCTGTGCAGTTTAGTTCTTGTGTATAAGGAGAAAATACTGCAAATATTTTGTCTTCCTCTCCCTTCTAGCAGTAACTCAACAGAAAAACTCTCCAAAGCAATTGCCTGGAATACCCCTCTGCTTGTGCAGGATTCTGCACCAATTCTTGCTTTAAAAGAAGACAGCAGGACCCTCTAGCACAGAAGTGCCTGCTCTGCCCACACCCTTCCCATGGCACCAGTGGGAAAGAGGGAATGTTCACCTGGATCCCTCCATACAGTGCCATCAGCAGCACTGTCCAGCACTAAAGAGTGATACCAGAGTAGATGCCACTGAATAACCACGATTCCCCAAATTCTTACAACTTCTGGACCTGAACAGAAGCCCATCCCTGTCACCTGGCCAGCATGGGGCCATTGGGGCTGTCCTGATGCCCAGATCTCACATGTCCCTGCCTCAACAAAGGGATGGAGAAGAGCTCTGCTGGCAGCATGGTGCTCATGAAGCTTCTCCCTGTACTGAAATACATCAGGGAGCTCTGCAGCCCCAGGTCTCTCCTGCACACCAAGCTTGCTGGAGAACACTGAGCTTTGGGACACTCCAGTGTGACAGGAAGGCAGGTTGGGTTGGGCAGTTCATGTGACAGCAGTGCCAGCTCTTCTAGAGCCTCTGATGGGGGGAGAGCATCATTTGGTTTGTGACACTAATATAATACAGATTTACTTTCCCCCTGGCAGAAAACCAGTGTATAATACACAGCAACTGTTTGGTTTAATTAAACAACCTAGAGAGAGTGATAATGCATCTTATTAAGCCTCTGCTATATTAAAATGTTAGCTAATGCAATATCAATATCTGACCATGCTTCATAGGAAAGGGAACATTTGCTTGTGTTTGACTCTAATACAATAAATTGTTTGCTCCTGCCAAAACATTCTGCTGTGCTATAGAGGACCAGCCCTGCAATAAAGCACACATCTGCTATTTGGAGATACAGCACTGAGCAGAAAGATTAGCATTGACAGGATGAAACACCACACAGGATTTTCTTCCTCTCCAAGCATACAGAAATTAAAAACCAAGATTAAGTAATACTATTTTCATGAGATAATTTCCCCATCACAAACAGAATTTGATGAGATCAGATGCACACTGGCATATCACCATAAAACAGAACATCTTGTAGAGTCTCAAAACAGTGATTTGATGAAGTGAGCAGATAATCTAGTTAAACTGGGTATTTGTAAAGCATGAATGTCCTTCACACAGAAGTCAGTGACCTAAGTCATACTCATTCTAGAACAACCAGACAGAATTCTTTATAGGAACATAGTTACTAACATAAAATAATCGAGAAGCACAGTGAGAAATATAACAATAGACTAGAATAATTTGTGAGTTAAGAGAAATAAAATTGCTGGTGTAAACTGCAGGATTTGTGGTATGTCATGGTGTACTTATTCATTCACAGTTTTCAAGTTGTTTCCAAAAGAAGGTGGCCACAAACAGAGATGCAGAGGCACAGATTACTAAGATAATTTTCCACAGGCTATCCAGCAAGAAATTCACCTGCAGAACGTGACTTGAGCCTCAGCTTAGTATTCAATTATCAAGTTATCCAGTCTAACACAGCATCACTGGAGTATTTTCTAAACTCTCCCAGGACCTTCACTCAAAAAAATTGTTGGTAGAAATGTCACAGAGAATATTAGAAAGTCTCCTGGTGTGCTGAAATTTCCTTGAAGATCTTTTTTGTTCACCAAAACCATTTTCAAATAATCTGGTTGCAATGGTTATTTGTGAGGGAACGGTGTCCTTCACAGATGTCCCCTTCACCTACAGTTTAAGCTTCCAGATCCCTTATTTGGAAGCTGTGCCATTAAACAGGTAGCTCATCACCCAAACAAGGGTTCAAAAACATTTTTCAAGTCATCCATTTCAAGTTAATTAAAAAGTAATTTCTTAAGTTAGCCCACAATGACTATTCAACTGGAGTTTTTTTTCTGGTCTTTGTTCCTTAGCCTCCAACTGAACATATAGAAATCTCTATTTCACATAATCCTGTGCGCTAAATTTAGTCCAAACTTGCAACTGCCCATCCTATTCAGCATGTTTTTAAACATTGCTAGAGTAATTGCCAGTTAGATGTACTGCTTCCAGACACTGCTGTGTGTGAGCAGAACAGCATTTCAGTGGTTCACATTTCTCCTCCTCACATTCATTACTTTATCAAAGGGAAACATGTTCAGCATTCTCCATTACAGAGCAAAATAATTCAGTGCATTGTTGGTATAACACATGAGTTTCTAATGGAAAAAGTCCTTTTATTCCCAGACACAAAGTTATTGCAGCCTTAAAATGGACAATAACAGCCACTGGGACATTAAAAGTTTGCCACCTCGTGCCTCAAGTGGTAAACCAAGCAGCAGACAATTTGTTGGCACTAAAGCTTCACAAGAATTGTGCTATGCTCCTGAACAACAATGATATTTCTTCTTCCTCTTCAGAGTCATAGATATTCATAGGTGCTTTACATATAGGAACTGTTTCCCCCACTGCCACACAGCAAATTTAGGCAGGGGAATAAAGTTTTATATTTCAGTTGAGGTTCTCTGGAAGATTTTGACATAATTACTAATCTCCAGCAATTCAGGTAGGATTACAGAATTAACATTTTATGGAATATATAATGTCACCTACTGATGGCAATTTCAGCAAAGTCAGCAGAGAGGTGACCTCCTGAATTGTTGCTCTTGGAGATAGGAGAACTTTAGTGGGAGAATGAAGTAAATAAATACATGTTTGCATTTACATGAGCCCATGCAAACACGCTTAACCCACTGCTCTCTGCTGCCATACCCCAGGGGTACCTGCCAATATCCACACACCACAACCCACCCCATCAGGGCTTCTCTTGCTGCAGCACCTGCAAGGGAGAGGGGGAATAAATTCAGACATGGTTCAAAGTCTCACATTCACATTTTCTTTATGCAGAAAATAATGAATAACTAGGCTCAAATGGCTCTGGATGCCACAGCTGCCTTCTGAGAGACTTACCAGTTACATCCTACAATATGATATTAAACTCATCATTTTCTGCTTTAGAGGTAGAATGCAAAATGATTCAGATGCCTTGTAAAAGTCATCATGCAATTTAATTCTCTCAAGTGTCTTTTCTTTGTGCTTACAAGCAATGGCAGAGTTTTCCTCTCTCACACTGTTTCTTAAGTAAAGCTGTAATTACCTGGATGACCCAGGTTACAGAGCTCCAGAAAACAAAGGCAGACTTGGTCTTTCTTTTCTCTGAGTCTCAAAAGAGAAATCACTTACTAGACTGACAGAGACCATGACTGAACCCCACTTCTTTGGAAAGAAAAGATTCTCTCCCTTTAAAAGAATGGTTTTTATCTCTTCTTGCCACTTACCATGTAAACCTAGCATAAATAAACAAACAAATGAATTTCTGCTCCAAAGTTCATTTGAATCCCTACTGTTGTGACATGCATTTTCCTGCTGAGTCAGTCTGAAGATTCTGTCAGCTTCAGAAATGTACATATAAATTAGAGGGTGGTGAAAATGAAAGAAATCATGAATTAAGAAAAAGAACTATCATTGTCAAGAGAGGAAATAGTTAAAGTAGTATAGAAGCTAGTTCATGATGGCACAGAAAGTTTTGAGAAAATATATCCTCACTTGTCTGCATTTTTATTTCCTTCACTGAATGCCTTTTGGAAGGTCAGTAATTAAAGAGTGAAAGGAAAGAACTATGTTAATAGCCAGTGCTGATGTGACCAAACTTAGACTTTGAAGAGTGCAATTATGAGTCTTAAGAAAACAGAGGTTTAATAAATAAATAAATAGAAGTCAGTAAATGCTGTAATAAAAGGATAAATGTGCATTGAGCCCAGAACATGAGCCACTAGAGAGACAAGTGATGCAGGAAGAAGCCAGCCCTGTCCACCAGCTGTCACTTCAATATGGATTTTATTAATTCTTGGGCATAGCAATTGGTTTAGAGAGAGAGGCATCCAAAATCCTTCTCCACTCCAATATTTCATATAGGGGATAGGATAAACTCCTTGCAATGTTTTATACAAGCTACTAAAACCATGGACCGTCATTTGTTGCAAAGAAGGGAGCAGCCTCCAGGCAGACTTTGTGCTCTTGCTACTAAACCACTGTTTGGAGTAAATGGACATTCAACAGCTGGCTCAGCAGATGGAGTTTGACCCTTTTCATTCAGAAATTCCCAGCAGAATAGCTCCTTTGATGCTGCCTCAGGTATCTCTCCAAAGCAAAATTCCTCAAAAGAATCCCTTTAAAAGAAAATTTTGCATGTGTCTCTAAGACATCCCTTTTGACATAAGCACATTGTTACCTCAGGATTAGCTATTTTGGCAATGCTTACAGTGGTGACACCAGAAAACAAGCATGCTCCTAAGGAAAATGAAGGAAAACTGAGCATTCAGCATCACATGGCCAGCAGTCCACATTCAGCTACAAAGCAGCATTTCTTCCCCTTTCAGCCCAACTGAATCGTGCCCAGTGCTTTGAATTGCTCCTT